GTGTAGAGTTTCATGTTTTTCAGCCAGTAAAATATCTATTGTGAATGTATTTTTTACCTTGTTTTTTAGGTAAAAGTAGTGTAACTAATCCACAGATACGAAATAAGGAATTTTTTACTTATTGATATGAATGTTAGTTTAAAAATCTGTTAAAGATAGGCACAGCTTAAAAAAACAGGAATTAAAATTTAGAAATTCCATGGAGTTTGTAACAACATACCTAAAAGAAGAGAACAAAACAATTTCTAAGTTGCTGCAATTAAAAGAATATTTTTGCTGTCTCACAGCACTGCTGAATGTAGTTCTATTTCATTTTGACATTTAAAGTGATGACTCAGGAACATTTTAAAACTTTTTTTTTTTTAAAGCATCGGAGCAACAAAAGCCAACTTCAGACCTTATTGTTCCATTAGTCCTGATCTTTTGAAAATGTGTAACTTCACAGTTCTTTTGTGATACAAGTACAGAATGCCTTTTTATCAAGGTCTACCATCATAAAAGAAGTAAAAGAAGGTACAGGTAAGTACACAAAATTCGTGGAGAGAATTTCTTGGAAATCTCCAAGTAGTAACAGAACTCAGAGTAATAGAACAAAACATTTTGTTAAGGACAAACAGTATCAAATTGATCAAATTTCCTTCATGAGTGTGACCTGCTTGGTGTGTAAGTGGACACCAGTGAATGTCATTTAAGTTTAGTAAGGATTTTGTGCTGTTCTGCTATTCAGCTGCAATAAACAATTCCAGGAAATGGGATCTAAATTAAATCACAGTTGTAGGGTTGTAGAATTGGCTGAAACACTCAACTAAACAGCAGTCATAAGGTTATCAAAGTGAGAGGGCATAGACTGGGATCTGCAGGAACTAGTTTGGGATGGAAGGGGCCTTTAATGATCATCTAGTTCCAATCTCCCTGCAATGAGCAGGGACACTTTTGACTAGATCAGGTTGCTCTGATCCTCATCTCACATCCCCTTGAATTTTCCAGTCATAGGGCATCCCCCACATCTCTGTGCAACCTGTTCCAGTGTTTCACCACCCTGATTGTAAAGGACTTTGTTCTTAACATCCGATCTAAACCTGCTCTCCCTTCAGTTTAAAACCATCACCCCCTGCATATCACAACAGGTTCTGCTAAAAAATCTAAGTGTGGTAATGGTATGTATCTTCACATGTACTTTTTCCTGGAAAAGCACACTGAAAGAATTTGCTGCTGCTGTTTTTCCTGATTGTGTTTCTAAATGAGCTGGATGTCAGAAGTAAATATTATTTTATGAAATATGTGGCTAACACCAAGTTTTAACCGTCGTGTGCTGGATTGTTCATAATCAAATTCAATGAAGAGAAGAATCTTTCTACTCATACTACTACTGTTGTATTTTCTTTTGATGATTCTACTAGCAATTAAATTACTGTCTGGTAATGCTGCAATTAGATACCCCAAGAATGGACATAATTGCTTTAAAATTGTTACCTCAGAACAATTTGAATAGTGATTAATTTTTTAGCAAACCTTAAATAGGTTTGTTTCAAATTTAGTTCTTGCTAATCTACCTATCAAGGACAGACAAATTCTGCAGTATGAAGAACCCAAAAACCTCTTCTATTAAACATTCCCCTTTCCCAAATCCTGCCCTTACCTCATAGTTCTTCATCTGTGAGAATGTGAGAATCCCTTTGCTCGTGGTGCAAAACATAGAGGAAGGTGATACTAATGGGATGGAGAGGGGAATTGTCCCAAGTTTTGCTACTATCTCTGCTGCTAGCAGAGAGCAAGTGGCCAGTTTTTTCTTTTTAATATGCTTTTGCAAGTTTTTTGCAAACTCTATTTCCAAAGATTTAGGAAGAATGTCTGTGATATTACATTTCCTGTTACAGGACAATCTTATAACAGTTGTGTCTTCTCCTTCTATAATAAATCACGAAAGCAATGGATCTATGTGTGATTGTCTGCTCAGTCAACTCAAAACTGTGAGAACCATGATGGGGATTTCTGCCACTCTCTCCTTCCCTACTCCATAAAGCCCTGTGGAAGCCCAGTGGCTTAAGGAGCGCTCAGCAAGGGTGGATAATATTTTATCTCTGTGATGGATGTTAAACCAAGAAACCACTAAAAAGTTTCAAACTCCTGCCCCTTCATTCAAAATGAGCTTAAACCAAACCAGTTTCCCTTGTGCTTTTCAAGCCTCATTTCCTTTTATCATTCCTATTGCAGATAAAGACCCTGATAACCCTTTATTTTCTTCTGGCCAAGTGTATTATCAGAGTGTATTTATCATAGGGCACTGGACTATTGATGGTTATGGGAAAAATGAGATTGGAGCTAGAACACTTTTTTAGACCAAAACCAGACTGCTGTTTGTGGTTTTTTTGTTTATTCTACCTTTTTGGCATCTAGCAGTGTTATGGGCATTTGGATAGCTTTTAATACATAACATTGCAGCACATACTCTGAACAAGACTCTGCTTTGCCACAGTCAAATTTCTGTCACTGAGGCCCAGCTGGGAAACAGCAGGAAAGCCTAGATGTTGCCTCATGGTTAATTGTGTTTTGATGTCTTGGTTTAGGTGTTTGTTCTGTTCTGTGATCAGTGTACTAGGAAATCAAAACCATGTTGTGACTCCAGTAGGAACAGTAAAGGTCCTCAGCCTCCCCCTGGCCCCCTGGCCCTAGCAGTGTGAGAATGTAAAATGGGTGTGCACCTTCTTGTGGGAGTCTGGATCAAATGTGGAAGTCAGTTACAAATGGATTAGTTGCAGTCCTTGGAGCAGATCATCTGTGAGATGCCTTAAATTGCTCTCAAATTCATGTATTCAACTACTATGTAATTTACTACAGGAAACGAGGATTTCTGAGGGTTATTTGTAAAGAAAAGCCTCAAGAAAAAAAAGGATTTTGATACAGGCATTTGGGATTTTCACATAAGCACAGCTCAAGTTTTTTATTAAGGCCTTATAAATATAAATAGATTGTAAATTATTTACAAAGAATGGGCATGGTAAATCAGCTTTAATGAGCTACAGAGCCATTTGGGTTAACTTGTGAAACCAACCGTTTCCTACGCTGTCAGCGAGTGCTGGATGTTCTCTGTAAAAAAGGAACCTCTATGCCTTAATTTGCTCTCCTAGAGGGAGAAAAAAGATAGGCATCCTGTTCATTTCAGATTTAACTTAAAAATTCACAGTGACCAAATTGTCATTATTCTGTGTGAAGACCACCCAAAGGTTGGAGGCAGTCCTCACATTCAACCATGATGCTGCAACTTAATTCCAGAGGCTGAAAAGAATACACCTTTACCAGTTTAACCCAGCTGGTGTAATCTGTCTGGATATTAACTTCAGGCAAAATTTTATGAAATTATTTACAGAATTCTGTGTGTTGCCTTCCTAGTTGTCTAGCAGATACACAAGTAACCATGGTATGGAGGTCACCTTGGCTTTAGTTGAGCAAAAACTTGTTCCTTCCCATGGAAAAGCTGCAGCCCAAGTGTCATGCTGTCAGGTTGTTTTACACGGAGTACCTCATCTGGATAACGTTTTTAGGATGAGCTTTGTTTCAACATAGGAAAAAGATTTGTAGAGTATCTGAGCTGTCCCCTTTATAAATATTTTGCAATCAGTAGTTAAGAGCTGTTTGAGAAATTAATATGCAGAATGTCAAACCCAGACTATTAAATACCCTTTTCTTGCTAAGACAGATTATTTAAGGTGGTTACCCATATTTTCACCCATGAATTCAACTGCATCCTGTAAAAAACTATGCTTGTGCCTGATACTGGGTCAGATTCTGTGACAGATCTGCCTCTCCAAAGAGAAGTCTCGTGTAGCTACAGGTTTAATAATTGGCTCTCAAAGACTTGAACATGTCAGTTTCGCTACGTCTGTGAAAAGGTCCATTTCCTCTAACAATATAGATTTAAGGTTTTAACACCTTACAATCAAGAGTGCTTTCTTCTCTCCCTTCTTGTGCCCAGTAACCTTTGTTATCAACTCCTTTCTTTTTAAAGCTGTACAGACTTTCTTTGCTTATTAGTCCTGGTAGCTACTATCAGTCCTATTCTTGAGGCTGGGTGTAATCCAGGTGTCCTCAGGGACTGCCTCCTAGTTTCTTTTGATGCACTCTCACTTAAAAAGTCACTTCTGAGACTGAACCATCAACAGCTACTCTATCAGACATAGCCTATTCTTTTACACCTGCCCATAAGAAGCTTTAAATTATTTCTCAGTAACTTAAGCCAAATGCTGAATCTTTGGAAACATTCATGTGTTCATTATTTTATAAGTAATTACCTCATACCTACTTTATAGAAATATCTGTGCTACAATCATCAAAATCAGTCTTTATGAGGAAATAATTAAGACAGTGAAGAATTCAATAGATGTACAATGGAAGGCAGGCCAAGGTTCTACATTTAGAGTAAGTATTGTCACAAGTTAAAATTAAGTTTTCATTATCTACATACTTAGATCAACAAAACTAAGACACAGAATTGTAGAACAGATGCGGTAGTCTCACTTCTGTACCCCCACACAAATATACAATATTATAAAAATAATTTACAAGTTAATAAGTGAAAACACACATTTCCTCCCACTTCACCATGCTGCTCCTCCCCATCCATTTTTTCCCGTATAAGGATTAATCTGTTAGTATATATGACTTCCCTTCACTGCAATACAATGCAATTCTTTCATCTCCTGACTCAGTGCAGGTTAATACCTTGCTATAGAAGATAAAAAAAAAGGCACAGTGAAAATAAAAAGTGAATTCACATTAAATCTTTGGTGCTGAGGGAGCTTCCAAAACTAAGGGAGAGGCAACTTAACAAAAGCTCCGTTTTACATGTTCAGGAAGACTTTTCCCAGAGGTTCTCTAATGCCCCTGATATCTAAGGAGTCAACTCCATTCACAGAACTGCACTTAATTTCTAGTGCATTTGAAAACTGTTCATACATTTCACAGCTTTGCAGTAGGATACATAGGCATAAGAAAAGACAGGATGAAGACAAGTTTCAAGCACAGTTTATTAATTTCAAGCAATTGCCACTTCTCAACATCCTCCACCCACATTACAATTTTACACATGCTGTAGAAGATCCCTCTATCTCCAGCAGTAGCACAGTCTGGTCTGCCTTCTGTATGGGGGTCAATATACACATAAAGGTTCTTCAGAGGTTTAATGCCACTTACCCTATATATGGAGATAAAGTATTATTAAGAAGATTTTAAAGAAATCATTATCTTCTATTAAAAACTCTTGAACAGTAATTAATTTTTAAACTAAGTAGTATACACCAAGGTAATAAAAACACATTCTAACTCCACAGGGCTGGAATCTTGTCTTTTCTGACGGCTTGGAAAACTGAGTGTGTTAAATGTGAAGCTCCTTGTCAACATGAGGGAGGAGGAAACAGAAATCAGCACAATAGACTTAGCCAAACCTTCTGTATGTAGGACCTCTAGCAAAAGACAAACATTAAAAATTTGTGCTCAGGAGGAAAAGTTAAGTTATCCTCCCTATCAGATGAGCTGAGAAACTGTTCATTGTGTTGCACAGCTGTTCTGCTTGCACCCAGCCACAACCATGAGAATTCAGCTGACTGTAGTGGCAGCCACAGCTACTCTCCTCGGAGACCTCAGGCTACAGGGACAGGCATTGCCCAAAACTGGAGAGGGGCCTTAACAGTGTCACAAAATCCTCAAGTCCAGAGGTTTTTGAAGCCAGAACTGAAGAGTTTTCTACTGTTGTCAACAAGAAGTATCAGCTGGATGGGGGACTGAAATCCACTTTTTAAGATTAACTCCTGCCATCCATTCTCTGTACAGATAATTAAGTTTGACAGAATTGAAACAAATAATGAACCTACTGATGTTAAAGAAAAAAGTGCATCACCTGCTTAAATGTTTACTGGTTAACACATTTATTTTAACCAAATATAATGGTTCATTTTTTTTCCTAAATGTAATAGATTTTGTACTGCTCATTCTATCATTTTAAGAAAACTACATTTTAAGAGTAATGCTAGTTTACCTACATTTTATTACAATTAAAAAAAACCCTCTTCAACCAGAAACAAAACAATCTATGTAACAAATTTTAATACAGCAAATATGTTTCATGAATTATCAGTAATGCAGCAGTGTTAATCAATTCTAAACTGAAATGCTGGAAACTAAAAGATTAAGACAGAACTACATGAAGAGTATTTTTCATATCTTTTATAGGACAGAAACCTTTGTTCATGTCTTCTGGTAGCCTTCATCTTCTTTTGAGCTGCACCTACAACACAAAGAACAAGTAAACGAGCAACTTTATGCTTCTCCAGAACAGCTTAAAACAATTCTGTAGGCATTAAGGGGCATCTTTTCTACTGCTTTGTTTCTGTATCACCAACTCATTTCATTGTTTCATATTCCTATTTTAAGAATAAAGTACAAAGTAACAGAAAGAATAAGCTATTACTACATCTGTGTAAAAGTGCCCTCAGAAGTGCTGCCTACGTTGTAAAAGTGCAAGTTACACTTGCTGCATTTAACTAGCAAGCAACTAGTGTTTCACTAAACATGAAAGCTAACTTCTTCCATTTCCTGTATGAAAAAGATACCTCAATATGTGGAAATAGGGAGAGATTGTTTTTTATTAGGAATTTTACAATATAAATTGAGAAGAGACAGGTTGAAGGTTCCAAATAGGTATACAAAACCACCCATCTCCTGCTTGTTTTCGTAGTTAGTTCATTACACCTCCTCGGTGGGGTATTCCCCACCAGCAGAATGACCTGCTTTGTGGCATTTTTCCTCATTCTTGCGTGCACTAAGAGTGCATGACTGTTGCCATTATGCACCTAGATGGATACAAAAATCCTTCTTAGTTCAAAGTACTATAACGTATGTGAAACCAGTGGGGTTTTCACAGCCTGCCAGAATATATTAATAAAAAATGAAAAGATGGACTTCTTAACATTGTCAAAGAGAATACTAAAACAGCAGTATGGACCTGAAAAAGTTGTCTCTGTTTTCCTCACCCTGTATAACCAACTCAATTGTCTCAAGCTCTTTTAACTTGTTGCTAAATGTTTATCTACACATGCTGTCAGAAATAACCTTGTTAGGAGGGTGAAGTTGGTGTCTCAGCAAATCAGACCCATGGAGTAGGCGTTGAGTGGCCTGTGACTCGCTTTCCTTTTTTCTCTTTCAGCACCATCAAAAGGAAAAGTGAGAAAAACAGCACAAACATTAGTTAAAGCCTGAATTTAATCCCATGTCCTACAGGAATAATTTCATTACAATGAAAGCAGACAGACAGTATCTGTAGGGTTTTTTGCTTTGTTTTTAAGCAGTGATAATTATATATCCAATTAATATAGCCTATAGCTCTCCCAAAGATCATAACATTTAATAATCCCTTTAATTAAATGATTAATAGGAAATGCAGGGGCGGGTCTTATAAATTACCTGATTTACCATCACTGAAGACAGATTCTTTTAAAAATGGCTACAAATGCCTTGTTCACAAAAGACTTTATTATCTAATGATGCATACTGAAAACATACAGAAATCTGCATGGTCCACTTTACATGCAGCAGAACAATCTTCACTTTACAATAAGTAAGTGTCAACTGTTTTATGCAAGAGACAACACTTTAAAGTCACATTTCTTAAAGAAAAGCTTCATTTACAAAAGAAATAAAAGGTAAAGAAGCAATTACCGCTTTTAAAAAGCAGCTGCTTTGTTCAAGAGTGGAAGGTTTATGCCTGTATTGAAAGACAACATGATCACAAATAATGAAAACAATGAACAAATGAAACACTTTTAGCATAAAGCAGTACACTTTCAAAATGACATACAAATAGTTAAAAATTTCATTATGTTGTCTATCTATCCTTTAGATATAAGGTCTTTCGAATGAGATCCCAACATATGTAATTACTAAATGAAAACTCTTCTGTAAGTATTGGTTCTATGTCATAGTGAACTGTATTTAACAAAATGTATACAAAGTCTATAGCAAGTTGATTAAAAAAACTAAAGTAATAAGAAACAGTACACTGAAGGCGCTCTATCCATCAAGTGCGCTCTCTCCCAGTTTTAAATGTGATGAACAGAACAGAAGTTGTAACTATGCCACGGTTGCAATGCCAGAAAATAAAACGATCATTTCTCAAACATGCAGGGAATTCTGCCACAATGCTATTGTCTCTCATTTGTCAGTTGTTCCAGTAAAATAACAGCTTAAACACCGGTGATGTTGATGGGTTAGCTTACCTTCAGTGTACTGAAAGTTGTACACAACCTGCTTTAAAAGAGGAGACCATCCCTGCGGGCAGGCTCAAGAAGGAACAGACCCCCTTCGGCACTGACTACACCAAGGGCATGCTGCTGTGGCCTGCACACACACACCTAGGAAAATGTGAATATAAACAGCATTTATGCTGGCCATTTTGTAAAGACAAAAATGAAGCCAAGTCTGCTAAAAACAAATCAACCACCCAGTATTACTGCTCTCTTTTTTTTTTTTTCTTTCTTTTTTTTTTATAACAGATGCTTTTTTCTTTTTATAATATATACGAACTGCAACCATATACATTAGCATTGTACTTTTGTGCAGTCTTGGCAATTAAAACAGTTCTACAGTGAAAATTTTCACATAAGACACAAAACAGAATTACTCTAACATTTCTAAAAGAAATATCAGCCTTGATGTTAATTCAAATGTATCATTTCTTCCTCAACTTTGCAGGGGAAATATTTATGTTTATATACATTAATAACTGCTGTGAAATTTCTTCAGTCTTTGTATCTTAATTAATCAAACCCTTTGAACTTCTTCATCTGGTTTAAATTTTCTCCTGGATGAAGGCGTGCTGCAGAGCCTGGTTGATGCTAATCCGTTTAGCTGGGTCTAGCATTAGAATCTGGTCCAACAAGTCCTTAAGCTGGTGCACTTTTTTACGCTGGTCTTCAGGGAGTCGTTGGCACCCAATCAAATCTGCTAATAGGTCCTTGGTTGGATTAATGGTGCTCATTACAGTAACTTTCTCCTACAAACACAGAAATGGCAGCCTTGTAGAACAGAAGTAATGCAAAACCCCCCTTTCATCCCTTTTCCAGAGCTTCAGCAGCAGCTTTTCTGCAGGCTTGTCTCGTATCTGAGCAGCAACACCCCGTCACCATATGGCCTCATAAAAATCATCATGCGTAGAGAAAAAAGTGGAAAAAACACTGTCGGGGGAGAGGCCACCAACACAGGTTCACACATGAACCTAACATCCCAGTTAATTCAGAATACAGAAATCCACATGTAAATTTCCTGTATCTGACCATTATTTTGTGATTCTTCTTAAATATAATGTGTCAGAATGATACCAAAATTAGTAGTGACCTCATACAATATAACCGTATCATACTGAACACCCTTCTATAAAATGAAGGCAGAATTAATTTTATTAGTAATTTAAGGATAGATTATAGGGAGATACCCTGTATATCTACCAGATTAAATTTAGATTTTTTTTGACTCGTGTTCCTACATGCTAGGAAAAAAAATTTCTTTTACCATTTTACAGCTATGTAATCTGTCCATAATGCTGCAAAAAGGACATTCAAATAGCTTATAAAATCTTGTTTTTAATTAGGAAGCCAAGGTACATTTGAAAGACCATAGAGTAGGCAATCCTGGAAAAACTGATGGATTAGTCAACACATAGAGGACTTACCCTTTCCGTCACTTTATCTACTTCTATATACATAAAGTTGAGATTTTGATCAAAGTGCTGATCTTTGAACACACCTTTTCGAATCATCTGGAAAATGAGGAAGAGGCAAGAGTTTCAGTCAAGTTCTCTGTGTCTTACACATTTTACAATTAACATCAATGTCTATTAATTTACTGCAATGTACATAATTTAATACTAATAAAAATATCAAAAGGACAGGAAGAGATGTTGAGATTGAACACAAAGATACAGTGCAAACTCTCTGAAAAAGGACACAGTATCTTTCATTGACTTACGCTTTTTTTTTCAGGTCAGTGCTTAGAAGGTTTCTGCTTTCACTTTATACTTAGTCTATGAAAAAGAAGCTGTATACTTTCACTTCATAAGATTTTAAATCAATATAAATTACACAGTCAGAGCAAAGTTTAGTACTTACTGTTAAGAAAAAATGCATATGATAAGAAACAGAATTCTAGGAGAACAAAGACTGTTTCTACTGTTCATTAAAGCAGTTTCATGTATATCAGTAAGTACTTATTGTAATAAGTACTTATTTTTCTTACCTTGTTTGGCATCTTTCCTTTGAGATCCATGGCAAGTTTCAACATATGATTATTGGTTTTGCCAGGAAACAGTATTTTTCCTGTATAAAGCTCATATAATGTGCAGCCTACAGACCACATATCTATACCATAGTCATAGATCTTTCCTATAACTGAAACAGAGCAATTCCAGTTAATTCCATAAAGGCAAACTGATACAATACCACAAAAGCAGACAGATGAAAAAATGCTGATTTATAAACTATATTGGTGCTGCTCTTCTTAGGAATAAAAAGCTACCATAAAAGCAGGATGTAACCTTTTAGCTTTTAAAGTGTCCCTATTTTAGAAAGGGAGGCTTTTACCTAACACCTAAACTGATCAGCTTTAAATCATCAATACCCAAGAAGTCAGAACAATACCTCTAAATTGAAACGTAACTATAACTCATCAGAATGACTTCTCACTGAGCTGATCACCAACATACATGAAGAGTCACATGAACATGCCTTCAAAGGCTGAATTTTTGACAGCCATCATATTTCCAGTCAGGTTTTGCTAAGACTAGAGAATAAATTCAAGTCAAGTTTTCATCTGCTAATACTGGCACTTGCTAGTATATGATGTAGCTAATCCAAAATGTACTTACTGATTTCTGGAGCTCGATAAAATCTACTAACTAGATAGGGTGTGATGTCATTATCTGCGACATGTGAAGCTGAGCCAAAATCACAAAGCTTTAGTATTGTTTTAGACTCGTTCACCTGAAATAAACACGAATATCCATTAGCACTATTTGTGGATAGAATTGATAATAGAACTGTAAAAGCAACAACATGTTTAAGTCAGAGAGAGGAAAAATATTCAGCCTTTAAACTGGAAGTTCCTTTCTGTAATCTAAGAAAATTATAAAACTTGCTCAAACTGAAAATGAGAGTTAATATCTTCAGATCCTACAAAATACAAAAAAAAGTCAGTTTCATGTACTTTTCCCCTAACGAAATCTCTTTGGTGGACCTGGATTTCATTCCAGACACTGAAATTTTATGGATTTAGACTTGAAAGTCCAGTATCCAAAGTACCACTTATAAAACAGCGTATTATTCATATCTCATGCTCACATAGTGTATTTTACTGCTGAGATAGTAATATGAGACTATTTTAGATAAATTAAAAATCTGAGTTTGTCACAGAGATTATGTCCAAAAAAACCAAAGGAAACCATTGGACTCCTCTGATGTAGCTCTCATGTCCTGCTGGAAAAGAGGCATTAAGGACCTTTCCCCATCATCTCACTCACATAAACAAAATCTCCATTCAGATTCAACCTACTTCCATTTTGCAGAAAGCAAAAACATCTCTCAACTATTGATGGGAAAATTTCAAGTATTTCTCCTGTAAGACACTGTCTTCCTTTGGAAAAACAAAGTACTTACTCTGCTTCCGATAGACGGGGATGCATGTTTGTTTGAAAAAGTTTTTATTTAGAAGCTGTGTTGTATTTCTTTCTTACTACTTATATCACAGTAACATTTTATACCAAAGTGTGAACCCTTAACATTTTCAGCAAATTTGACTTCACCTAAATTAACAGAACAATATGAATTTCAAATACTTTATTTTATGATACAAACCATGCAAAAAAAGTTTTAATTATTTGTTACTTACCAAAATATTATCTGGTTTAATATCTGCATGTAGGATATTGCATCTTTTAAGAAGTTTTAAAGCCAGGAACAATTGCTGGCTGTAGGAACGGACAGCTTTAATGTGGAGTCCAACATCTTTCCCATACTTCTTCAACACTTCTCGTAAATTCATACTGTTAAGGGAAAGGGGGAAAGAAAGAATTTGAAAGAGCGTAACAGAAAAACCAATAACAGCCTCCTAAATGCTAAGACAAACTTCAACAAAACACTTAGCTATAAATAGTTGTTGAGCAATGCAGCATTTAACATTCCACTCTGTGAGCTACAGAACTGAAATAAAAAGACTGGTCAATCAGATACGCCTTATACTGTGTAATTACTTGCTGGACTTAGTTCAGATCATATTCTTAATCAATATTGATATGAGAGGATTTATTTGCATGAACATGAACAGCATTTTCTTAACAACTGTAAGCCCTCTGTATTCATTTTCTTCAGAAATAAGTGAAAAAGGAAGAATGTAAAAGATAAAAGGTGAGGAGATTTTTTTGGTGATTTCAGCGGCAGATAAAATGACCATCATTCCAGGACAAAAACATAACTGGACATAAATAAGGTACAAGTGTGTTATCAAGAGATACTGCAGCATAAGACAATAATTTGTTCTACAGCTTATTATTGAAATATGATAGTAATATAAAAAAATTTGCATTGTTTCAGCATACAACTTATTTTGACCCCAAATATGGCAAAACTTAAAAAATGACATACACAGAAAACTTAGGATTTGAACAACAGATTTTTCTAAGTAGGAATGGGGACTAAGGCAATTAATATATCTGATCTATCATAAAACAGTATCTACAATCAACCTGTCACAAGAGCTTAATTACTTGAACAGAAAATGAGCATGCAAAGAACCACTGTAACCATTTTCTCCCTAAAGCTGTTACTACATCTGTACTCTTGACAGAATATACAGCATTTCCTGAATCTCTCTGGGAATGCATCTCAGTACAAACCCTTAAAATGAAGAATTATGAAAAGTAATAAAAACATTGGCATATACCAAAAATCATTAAGAGCAGTACTAGCTAGATGAACAATCTTTAATACAATATCTGATTTCAAAAATTTTCCAGGCAGAAAACTCACAACAATGCTAAACATATATCAGAAATAGTTCGCTAGTCTGAATTTGTGCCTGCAGACCATTTTTTTGTTTGTTTCAAAGTTCCTTGCATTCTTGAATCCTGGCACTAGAACAAGGTATCAGAACAAGTCAAATCCAGAAAGGCAAAGAACACACAGTAGTACTTTACCTTTTACACAGAAATTTGTCATCTTACCTGAGTGGCTCAAATACCAGACAGAGATGTTGTTTGTGGTAGAAATGCCTGAACAACCGTAGACAATGAAACTTGTCATCAGGATCAGCATCATTTAGCTTCTTTAAAAATTCCAGTTCTTTTAGGCCAGTTTTTTGCCTGAAAACAGGGAAAAGAGGTTATAAAACAAAATCTGTTTAATTCTAGTATTTTTTTAAATCTTGCCACTTGTGTGGCTATAATTATCCAGGAATGAGATGTGTCTTGTCATTACTGAATGTACCACAGCTAAAAATCCAAAATCACAATGGTTTGCTGTCAGTGACTAGGGAGTGGGTAAGCTGTTTTAATTCCTGGATATTCGCTGTACCTTTGCAACCTACTTATCCTTTCCTCCTCACTCTCAGTTGCCTGTAAGGCTAAAACTGGATTTTATCCTATAATGTGACACATTTCAAACAGCACTCACTTGAGAAGCTTACTTGTTTAAAAAAGTGCTTCATCACATACAACAGTATCAAAGGATTTAAACTGAACTGACTGTAGATTCAATTCTTCATCCAAGCTAATTAACTACAACACACTGAACTAAAACAGTTTATCACACCCTCCCTTTTGCCTTTGAAATTTTTCTAGATACTTTTTAATGTAAATAAAACAAATCCAGTTATACACACAGTAAGACAAATTTTAAAACTTCCAAGGTAAAATTCATGGAAAAGATTTTCATTTAAGTTGTCATTAACAGAAGAGGACACAAGATATGACTGTATAAATACTGCAGCAGATGGTGAAAACTAGTATTGTGGGCAAGTAAAGTCCTCAAATTACATACTTAAAGAGATCTTACTTGTTAATGTTCACTCAGACTTTTTTTTTGTATTTCAACAGTGCAAGTCCCATCTCTTTTTATGTATCTTATATACATGCAAATGTTTAGAAAATATACAAAAATAATTAAATGTATGGAGATCTTAGATCTGTAAGTTGCAGATGGAATCCAACCCATAGCCTGCCAATCTGATTTGATCCATTGAAACAAAATTTTTACAGTCCACAACTCCCATCTCAAGAAACACAGGGCTCATAATTAGCTGTAACCTTGTTTCCTGCTATCACTGTTCCCTGCAGGTTCGCAAATGAGAAAGTGCCTGATGAAAAGGCAAGTACCCTTCCTCCTGTGATAGCTGTAAAGAAGTGTGGATACATAGTCCTCAAGTGCTTCCCATTATCTGGCTCATATTAGCAGAAAAGGCAGGAATCACAGCTGTGATCTGTTACTTCACTTGAAACAAAGGAAGATTCAAATCACATAATGAAAAACTTCCAACTGTTCCACATGCTCTATTACCATCAAAAAACACCATTACTTACATAAGTTCATTGTTCCTGATGATTTTCACGGCTACTTCTTGGTTTGCTCTGGCCATATCTCTGGCTCGCACTACGTTGCTGAAGACTCCCTGACCAGTGTAACCATAGACATTGTAACGTTTATCTAGAACTTCACCTATATTAACACCTGAGGGATAAAACCAAGCAAGTTCAAGTTACAAGGGATAAACGTAATAGAACTTCTCAAGAAAAAGAAACCATTCTCTTACAAAACATTTTGTACATATTACAAAATATGAGGGCTATTGTAAGACCCTTTAATTTCATGGTGTACAATTTTCTGTATCACCTCGCTTTGTGGAAATTATGGGGAACAAAGGGTGATTCTTTAAGTCTGGAGTCCTTTCAAAACTGAGGTTAAAACCTGCATGCTTGTTTCATCTATTACATTATACACTCAGAGAGGGCTCTGGGATACATCTACATTAGAACATTTCAGTACTTTCATACATGAGGATTTTTCTCCACTCAGCACCCTCACTCTACCTGTCCTTGCTGATAAACAAACACAACTTACGGTAATAGCCTTCTGCGTCTGTCCAGTTATCCCTGAGATTGGGGTTTTCTTTGAAGTCTTTTCCAAACCCAGCAGCCCTTAAACGAGCACTCTGAAATAAAAAGTAACAGCTTTGCTTGTGTACTCTGTATTTTTCTTTTGACATTTACTTACCAAAGCCCTTTTTCCCCTACTGAAAAACTGTTCTCTCCACAATAAAAACACACTTGTCATGTTAGAATGCACATTTTGGACCATCTAAGTAAGACTTTTTATTTACAATAAGTTTATAGTAAAAAAGTTCAGCAATTTGCAAGGAAAACACAACTGTTGAAGCCTTGAATTTCTGTTCACTACATGCCACTTGTTTCATACTGTTATACATACTACCATGACACTTCTATAACTGCTGCTGACATCTCTTAACATACTGGGCAATATTTTAATCACAAATTCAAAACTATGAGTGGTAAAGTTTATCTTCAATTGAACAACAGTTTCTGGAAGGGGGAGCTGCTAGCTTACAAGCAATATAAATCTCCACTTGTAACTTCTGAACTTTTAAAAATGCACCCTCACACAGACACTATCTTTTAAGTATATCCATCTTTTTCCAGGTCAGAGGGACACCAGTGTTACTAGAATAAAACCACAGCCTATGTTATATCTGCCATAAAAACTCTCCAGTCAATTTTGGTTTAAGTTAAGAAGAAAGTTCTTGTGTTTACTTATTTCTCAATGTTATGCATCAGCAAAAATGCAGAGGATTTATAGAAAATGGCACATAAAATCTCAAAGGCAGACATTGGACTGCCAATATCTGAGGGTCACTGCAGCATATTTAGAGAAAAGCTAATGAAATAGTATTAAAGTAAAACCAGGCAATGTACCTCTCTTCATCCCAAAAAATCTTCAAACAAAGAACCAGATTACTCCAACATAGCATCATTAGCCAATTACAGTATCTTACACACTTTTTAATTAGCCATACATGAGTCTCTGGAAAAAAGGTCATATTTAGAACATTGCAACATGGCAATAACAATAAAAAGCTGAACTTATAAATAGATTAATGTTTTTACCATGTGCCATTGTATTCAAACAGCAGGTGAATTCCCCAATCGCTTACTCCTGTAAAATTGCCACTAATTTCAGCAGATTTTATTTCACTGAAATACTAATTAAGAATCTGCCTGCATTGGCTGACCAAAAGATTAAGAACATACAAGTCACTTAGCAGCATGTGCTTTTATGTGCTTTTTAAATCAAAGTTCTCACAACCCTCAAGTGACAGTGACTCTAACAAAAATCAAGCAGAAAAAAAATCATACATTTCATCTCCAAGAATTACCTACATCAAAGTATGCAGCGAACATATCATCTGATTCTGTGAACATATCAGGTGCTAGCAGCTTCTTCTGAGATGAACCTTAAAATGAAATTCACATTACTCAACATGAAAAAGATGTCAAATGATAACTCTGTTGCCAGTATAATTTGGCACCTGGTATCTTTACAGCATAGTCTAAGATTGGTATATTGGCAAACAGGTAGCTCTACTAATGTTTCTAGCAAATGCCATTTCACATATTTCACATTCTAGAATATAAAACTCAGACTAGTTAAGTTCTTCAAAGAACCCAAAAATCTCTATCTCCTTGAAAAACTACATGTAATAGCTTTCAAGAAAGCATAGCAGAAAGAAACTACATACTTACATGCTCCCTACAAATAATGACTCTCTCTCTATATATATATATGTACGTACGTATGTATAAAAAGAAGTACAGAATTACTGCACGTATATATAAGAAAAACCAGTCTTGTTTTCAGTACACAAGTTCAGGCTTTTCTGCTAATCACAAGGTACTTTACTAAAACCCAAAGTTGTAAAGCCCAGAAATTGTTTATTTGGTAAATCCTTTCCCCAACCCTGCCAAAAATGGATCTGGTGTGCAGCTTTTTGTCAAGCACAATGTTTACTATTGCTTTAAAGAGAAACATTTTTGTTATGGGCAAGATTATCCCTTTCTCACCTTTTAATCATCTTTAAATCCCAAAGACATTTAACTTGGTTGATAAGATAAAAGCAAAGAAATATAAATTAAGCACACGTTAGTAAAAGCAAGCCAACTTCAAACTATTTAATTCATGTACACATTATGGCAGCCCTCCACGAACACGGTAAATTGGAGACCCTCCCTTCACTATGCAACGGAGAAAAATAAATGGTTAATTCAGTTCAGAGGCTTCAGATCTTGTGATGCACAAACCCTTTCCATACCAAATAACCTGACTGAAATCTGACAGCATAAAAAATAAAATCATCCAGCATGCTGCTACCACTGGTTCAAGGTATACATCTATCACCTGACACTTGTAGAGAGGCAGTTTACACCACTGTTTTGAACTACAGACCCTTCTAGAAACTTCCTCATATTTTCCTTTTAGTTCCAGTTACCTGTACTGGTCTGCAATGAGTTATTGAGCAGTTTCTTAGCAACTTACTACTCTGGCCCTTTGTCAGGACACAAATAAAAATTTACTCCTGCAGAGGAAGATAACCCACTGGTTTCAGCTGTTGTTACAGCCGCCTCCAACTCAGAATCCTACCACCCAGATGTAACTGTAACTTTAAAAACCTCTTTTACATGTCTATGTGGAAAATGCTTACATATTTAAAACTTAAATTTTCATATGCTTTAATAGACAAAATTAAGAGAGCTTTGACAAAATAGGAAAAACACATTGTCTGTTAGACATAATAAGCCTAAACCTGTGGTATGCAAAGAAAGCACTAAAACAGTTCTTTTCACCGATGTTGCAGGAGAACAATCTGAAAACACATGGCTCAAGGGAACACCAGGATAAACTACAGAGCAGTACAGCAGTCCCAAAGAGATGCAGCTTTATTACTTTCAAGAGAATCATCCACTAGAGACATCGTATTTAGGCCCCAAAGATACATGTGGTACAGGATATGAAATACAAGCCAACCACAACTCTCCCTCCAAGGGGTTGGGCAGGCTCCACAGCCCTCTTTGAACATTGCTATTGCAATTAAACTGTATGGAAAAGCCAAAGCAACTTAAACTAGCTCAAGTACAATCACACAGCAACTGCACACACCTCTGACTACTTGGAAGATGTACAGTAATCCACTTTCAAAAGACAAAAAAAGCAGCAGACTTTCAATACTACAGGGTGCACTGGGAGATGTTCCGCATTCCTTTTGCTGCAGCTGGCACAAGGCAGGTTTTATATCAAAATTTATTTCAACAATGCTGTACAATAGAGTACATGAAGAGAGGGAAGAGAAAGAAAATACCCATTTCAGCAATTAGCTATGCTGCTAAAAGGGCCTTACTAGCAATGACCCACAAAAGCTTTAATCATTCTTAATTACTACAGACCCACCCATATTCTTCTGTCACAGTGGCTTTAACCAAAAAAACGTGTAAAAGGAGCAGGATTTCCAAGTCTCACAAAAGGAAGTCTAGGACTATACTAAGCTTCTAAGAAAACAATTTGCCTAAGTGAAAAGAAAAATTTGAAAGGGAAATTCTTAACCATATAGGCAGACATCGTTATTTGCTCTTCCAAATGTAAAGCACAAGTTCTGTTAAGAGTTATTAGAAATACAGAGAACGTATTCCAATCATATTATCCTTCCTAATGAGGAAGATTTATTTTAATTCTATGCTTTAAGTACCATAATATCTGTGAAAACATTCACAAATTCCATCCAAAAAGTCAATCTACTTTTCCTAGTCTGGAAGTAAGTAAACTAAGCCAAGTGTCTGAGCGTTCATAAATTGCATTAGAGAGATTTCAGAATCTTACCATTGTTCTGTTCAACTGTCATGAGGTTGTGCTTGGCTTTCACTGACGCCTCAAATGTATCCACATTTTCCCGTTCATACTCCTTAACATCAGCAGCAACTCTTTCTAGAATGTCATCAGGAGAATTTGAGCGACTGCGTGTACTGCTTTGAGGGCTGCTTGGTTCAGATGGTACAGATATGTTACTGTCCTCTGTCTGGCCTTTGTATTTCTAAAGAGAAATTTAATTTTTAATCTCACTGTTACACATTATCACAATTTAAAGATTTTCATATCCACCCTTTCAATGGTTTGGGCTTTCAGCTGAAGCATCTTTGCTTTAATAATCACCTGTGTCTATAAAGACAGCAGATTATTTTTAGAATGGGAAACAACTTCTGAAAATTCAATTTGTCACAATGCACCACAGCCCAGACCATAAGACTGAAATATTCACATGTGTTCTTTTGGTCTTTAAATTTATTTAAAAATAGATTATTACTGAATATTAATTATTTGGTTAAATACAACAAAATAGCAGCAGCAACAAATTTATTACTAAGCTGTCCTGGCACATAAATACTGAAATACAGTCTTTGAGGAAAAATTAATTATTTTATATCCTACATTCTAGAATATTTCCTAGTTTTACCAGTGTTATGGTACAGAAAAGTAGCTTTTAGATTCAGTTTTTTAATGTGAACTTGAAATCCTATTTATTCATTCACCTGTGCTGAAAAATTTCTGAAGCATTAAAAAAATTTTAAACATCAGCTTTAATATTTTTGTTACCCTTACGTACTATGAAATTATACAGATCTCACTTCCTACCCCAAAAGGTAAAAATCAAGATGAAGAAATGCTACTACCACTCAGTTGTCAAGGCTGAACTATTTAATAATACAAGTAGAGGTTTTTCTGTTTAGGGAATTCAGCTCTGCAATTTGCTTCCAGCTTGCATCAAAATTCAGTGTAACCTGTCTTTGAATAGAATTGATATAGTTTGGCTCAGTCATAGCTCTGAAGGATTTTACAATGGGCTTTGCATAAAACTCAAGCCATTAACAGTATTTTTAGTGCTGTTTAAAATAAGCAGTACATTAAAGCCAGTGATTTTGTACCTGATACTAAATAAATACGCTACAGCATTTTGCTTGCTGTGTTTGAATTCTGTGACAAATCCCACCTTTGAAAAAAGATAGCTGACTTGTATCGTACAATGATACCCCCTTCAGCCACAGCTTCTTTCAGGGGGTCTCAATCAGACACTACACCTGTGGTTACTGTTACGTTACTGTACTATGTACTGTGTTACTCCTTGTTACCTGGAGTAAGAAGTTCATACAACTCACCTGTGCTTTTATGGAGGAACCCATGACAGTGGCTTTACAAAATTTTGGAAATTGACATGTACAACTTCTACTTGAAACAAACTGACTAGAGTTAGGCTAATTGATATGTAACTTACTGTTACACTGGCATTATCAGATCAATGATACAGCTACAGAGAAAGCACACAGACGAAGACAACTGAAGAACATTTTTAACATGTCTTAAGACCATCAGAGAACGTTTAACTGTAGCAAAAGATGACTCACAGAAGAGTCACTTCAGTTTTAAAAGCAATGCTGTAACAATAGAGGTGTAGAATTTAAGAGAGCCTAACATTTGCAATGAACTGGAAAAATACAGCAATAGGAGTTACTATTGTAATGCAGCAATAGGCAAAGAGCCTTCCTTTACCCTGACATTTTACTCTAAAAACACAGAATTAGCTCCTGTAACCATGTACCTGAACAATTGCTTGCCGCTGTAATCTCCTTTGTCTTATTTCTGCTTCTTCATCCTCTTCTTCCAAATCAAAGTCTTCAAGACTACAAAAATATGATTTTTTTATATAACTTCATAAACATATAATTATCTCCTAAATTTTACCAAGTGCAGTTGCTTGGCATATAAAGCACGGAATATATTAAACAATAGCTGTTCAAGTGACTCAGAAAGCAACGGTGTATTAAATCCCACTGCATATATTTACATTTCCTTACAAAGAGAATTTATCTCTTGGTATCTCATTGGGACTTTCTGCATTCCATTTTTAATTGCAAACAACTAATAGCCCTCTTCCAGAAGACAGCAAACAAACAAAAAACACTTGCTCCTTTTCACTGCAGCATCATTTTTCCTTAATAATTTGATTAAGAATGCATACTCTTGCACAATTGAATAGGCAGATATTTAGGAAATATAAACACAATTTGCAGACAGCAGTTAATCCTTTCAGCTATTAAAGCTTTCCCTCAAGCAGTAAGCTTTAGTAATGAGACCAAAAGTTTTCACAAGATACTAATCAAGTTGAATTTAATAACCTAATGATATATCCTTCCCTCAGGTCTGCCCAGTAGCTAGCAGGTCTTGCTAGTTTTTTCCGTATTCTGAAGTTTTTCAGATTCTCACAACACTAATTTGACAAGATTGCAAGTACAAAGACATGATTATGGTTTTAGGTGACAACTCAAAAATCCACCATGAAGATAAATGTTAGCTCATTCTTGGTATCAGTGGAACTGCAAGTTACAAATAATTAGTGTAAGTTAAAATACAGTCTTACTTTTCATCTGATGAAGACTCCTGTTCAGCTTTCATGCCCTCAGAAAGACTGCCTTTAAACTTGTCTTCTTTAACTTTGCTTCTACTCCTACGTCTATGGCCACCACGTGACCTGGATCTCCTTCGAAGGCGAGATCTACTTCTCCGGCCTCTATCCCTGTTTTATAAGAAGAGATTTGGATTTTGTGGGGGTTGCTTTGATTTTCTTAAGAAAAGAAGGAAAACCTTTTCAGAAAACATACAGACACACAATGATTCCAAGCAATAAAAAAAAACTTAATTCACAAAGGACAAAATGAATTTAACTGTGCTAGTGCATTATTAACACAGACAAAAAAAATAGCACGGTCTTTTTACACATAAGATAGCAATCCTTATTCTTCCTGTAATATCCTACAAAATCCATTTAAAAACACAGGGTGTCTTTACCTCCTCCGAGGAGATCTACTCCGCCTTCTGGGAGATCGGCTACGTCGAAGGGGTGTTCGAGATCTCCTCCTAATGGGGGACCGAGACCTTCTTCTGGATGGGGACCATCTGCTGGGTGGGCTGACATCCTTGGATCTTTCACGTCTAGACAAAATGTCATCCCTGGTCCGTGTTCTTAAAACAGAGGAAGAGTGGTGGTAAAAATCAGGAGCAAGCTGAAAACAAAGAAGTCAGTTTCCTCTAAAAACTCACTTGAAATTCTCACTGCAGGTGAGGGACCACCAGATGGGCTTCTGAGGAAGGGATGGATAAGGCGGCTGCAGAGCTGGGCGCCCTTCCTGCATGCCTCTCCCCACCCTGGGAAGTGTGTGCCCATACTAAGATCTAGTTCAGGACAAGTCTGGAAACAGCTCTTTAATTACTACCACAATGTTAAGAGAGGTTCTAAAACAAAACTTGTGTTTAGGTCTTACATAAATTGTAGCTTGTTTTCAAGTTTACCAGAAACTGTACTGAAACAATACATAAAACCCAAAATCTTATTCTTGAGAATCATTTCACCAGCTTCCCACCATGCTATTGAAATTTAGGCTTAGGATCATGCTACTTCACAGTAGGGACAATAATTTCTGTTTCAATTTGTGCAGTACAACTGCATGGCTTCATTTCACACACCCTAAAACAGCAGATGAAAACTAGAATTCTTCACTAAAATCTAAACTATTCCATCTCAAATTAGAACAATAATTCAAGTGTGACACTATATATACACTATTCAAAACTTGTTTATTCTTGCCTATAGAGATTCACAATTATTCAAGAAAAAAAATCCTTGATGGGATTACTACATTAAAAAGCTTAACTGCATGACAGCAAGAGTTCAGTCAAAAACTGGACAGAATATAAATAAAAAATTTAACAATGACTCTAATGAGGCTGCATTAGAAACTGGAAAATAGTTTCACACTATTTCAAAGGAAATGTTGCTACTCTTTTTTTACTGCTCTTTTTAAAAATTATTTTTAATTTTTTAAAAATCAAGTTGGAACAACTCATTACAGCTGCTATATCTCACCAATGAGCAAAATATCTTGGGTCTGAAAGACTAATTCCATCCATTCTGTGATTTTTTTCGTTTGTATTGAGACTGCTAAATCAGTTTCAATTACCTTAACTACAGACAATGATCAGACATACAGAACTGATCCAAAATAATGAGGCAAAAGGAAAATTAATACATGTGCAGAGTATTGGCAGTTCCTACAAGGAATTACGGTACTCAAATGCTGGAGTAGACCAATACCTTTAGCCCAATTAATTTATATTATGCTCTTGTGAACAATATTACATAAAAAGGGACAGGATGAAGAGTTACAGGCTTCCTGACTAACAGAGTGGTTGTACTGCCAAAACCCAATCAAAATATCTGCTACAAAAAATAAATTAGTTCAGAGATCACAGGAATGAGATAAAAAGTGGAAGGTCATTAAGAATTCATAGTAACATCGTACAATGAGTAACTCCAGTCAAAGACCTGAGAAGTCTTGTAAGATTAGAACACTGGAAACAAACTTGAAAAATGAAATTACTGGGATTTTTTTTGTTAAAACTGTTTATTAAAGCTCCTGAAATTCTCTGGAAGTTTGAGTAATTACAAGTAGTTAAAACTTGAACACAGGTGGAATTAATTCAGATGTCTTACAAGGAAAGATTATTCCTGCTGATCCGCAAACACCTCCAGCAGAAAATATTTTAGTAGTCCCCCACTCACATGCTGCTCACCACGCAGTTACAGAAGTATGAATTTGACAGCAAAATTCTAGACACATGCATCACTTGAAATATGTGTCTAGACAACCAATTCAAACTGGCTGCAATGCAAGCTGTCAAGAAAAATGAAAACTGAAAGATGCAAAATGTTGCAGAGGAAAAGTGAACTGCTATGCCAGAAGAACTCGGTGGCTAGGCAGACACATTCCTGATTCACCAGAAAGCAGCCAGATAAATTGGTAGCATTTACAGTACTTGCTTGATCACGTTAGCATCACTGGGGCCATTCTCCAAAGTACCCAAAGATACCCCATACCTGAAGCCAGAGTAACCTTCAGTGATTCAGGCTGAAACTTCACATTTTTTAAGTGCCAATTCACTACACTTTGTGGGTCCAATTAGTTTTAAATTTATACTTCCTTGTTCTTAGTTCTCAGACTGGGTGAAGCTAAACCCCCTGATACAAAGTTTTAAATTATTTGTTATACAGTGCTGAACTCTTCTGACTCTTAAATTTCCTACAGCTAATGAATTAACTTCCAAAAATGCATATACTTATATTGTTCTCTTCTTTGAAACTCACCACACAGGCATTATTAGCTTTCAAATTTCAAGATAACTCCCTTCATAGGCTAAATATTTTTAAAAAATACCAAGACTACACCAATACACTAAATAGATTTCCATCATCCTCCTTTAAGTGTATGCAAAATATGGTAATTACATATGACAGCCAATAACAAAGCAACATTACCATCCCACTAGCAAATGAAAATCCACAATATTTAAAAAAAAAAAAGAAATAGGACTCTGAGAAGGACATCTTGATATAAAAATATTTGCTTACATTCACACATACTCACTATCTATCATTAGGGCTTTTTTTGAGGGGAAAGAGGAGCTAATTACCCACTTTTAGCCAACACTAATATGTAACACTGAAAAGAATTCTCACTCCACAGAAGTTTCAGAAAGCAACAGAACTACTGAGAAAGAAAAAAAATAGAAGCCAAATTCTGAATCCAACCACAGATAAAAAGGAGAACAGTTACAAAACTTGTTGCCAGTAAGGTGTGAGCAGCAAATAACTTAGCACTTTAACAACTACAAGATGAATTTGTGTTTCTGAGAGCTGGGAGTAATAGGTTTTTTTTAAAAAATGAATACATACAAAGTAAGCTCATGATATCATGTACAATCTGATTACCTTTTTAAATACCTAGTTTCTGAATAAAACAAGGAGAAAAACACTGAACTAGAAAACAATTCATCCTGTAATGCATTTTTGTGATGGCTCATGACACCTTTAAGTTACCTGGGAGAAGACAGACGCCTCCTTTCTGATTCTCTTCTTTTTCTTTCTGCAGATCTACTCCTCACTCTTCTAACTGGAGACCGGGTTCGAGAGGGGGATCTACTCTGTTTGGATCTACGATCATTAAAGAGAGGGGATCTGCTTCTTCTTGACTTTTCACGCTGTTTGGGAGATAAGCTTCTCCCTTTTGGGCTACGGCCAGGTCGTCTAGGGGACCTGTTTTCTTTCCCTGAAGAAGCATCTTTAGAAGGAGATTTAATTGGCTTTTTTTCTTTGTCAGTCTCTGATCTCCTAGGTTTTCTATCTTTGGACCGTGATCTTCTATCTTTGGATTTGCTTCTTAGTTCTGCTGGAGATTTAGATTTTCTACCACGATCTCTGCTTTTGCTTTCATTCACAACTGGAGACTTTCTGCGGTCCCTTGATTTGCTTTTATCATCAGCCTTATTTCTCTCCTCCGGAGGAGACTTAGACTTTCTGTTTTTCTCCTGAGATCTCCTCTTAAGTATTGGAGACCTAGATTTCCTTGTCTGATCTTGAGACTTACTTCTCTTATAAGGACTTTTGGATTTCCTCCTTTCCTTTGACTTGCTTCTAGTAGTCTTCTCTTTGACCCCATCAACTCCTGCCTTAGCTTTCTTTTTGTCAGATCTGTGCCTAGTCCTTTCTTTTGATTCACTCTTACTTGCTTTCTTGGAACTAGTTTTATTGTCCACAGGTTCTAATTTCCCCTTAGTATTTGACTTCGTTGTAGGCCTTGTTCCATTTCGTGCTTTTTCATTAATCTCTCCCTCTTCTTCAGATCCTGACTCATAACCTTGTAATATTAATCCCATTCCAGACTGGACTTTTCCTTCCATTAATTCATTTTCAAGTTCAGCTTTCAGCAATGCTCTTTGTTTCTCTAAGTCTTCCAGAGGAGCCAAAAAATCAATTTTAGTTCTTTTAGCTGGTCCATCTTCTTTGTCAGAGGCATCAGCCACCTCTTTCCATTTATGTTTCTTATGTTTGTGTCTGTGTTTATGTTTTTTGTCCTTATCATCTTCTGAAGAATGTTTATGTTTCTTGTGTTTACTTCGGTGTTTGTGTTTCTTTTTTTTGTGTCGGCTGTGCTTGTTCTGAGGTTGGTCTGCCTCTGACACTTCCCCATTTTCTTCATTCACACTTTTCTCGGACACCTCAGCATCCTCAACCCTGCAAAAAACAAAGAGATCAGTACTATAAACTCGCTGTAGTCTTTTATCTCACGTTAAGTAGACAGCCTTTTATGATAGAAACTAACTGCCATTTATTCACCTACCGTTGGGAGAATTAAAAACGTACCACTAATTTAACTAAGTTATAACAGCAGATACAATTCCTCAGGAACAGACAACTCTGACTGCAGGAAGAAATAGTACAGAAGGAACAGACAGCAAATGCACTGACAAAACCAAATGCGTGGATGGAATCAATGCTTATGCCTTTACATTCAATTCAATTTACTTATCTGTCAAGAGCACACAACAGTGCTAAATATTTACTTGTCAGTCCATCATTACCCATGTCACTTTCTGCTCCACACCAATGCCTAACCCAAGCTATGCCTTTTTCAAGTACTTTCAAGTGGCAGAAAACAGTTGTGCTCCAAAGATCAAAATTTACTTCAAGGTTTGATGCTGACCACCTTATGAAACCTTTCTGCAAAATCTCATGCAGAGCTGACTAACTCCCTTAGTTGCATTTTTTGCTCTAAGTGTACACAACTGTTTGAAAATCAAGAAATGTTCCTATACATCTATATTATTCATGCAATACAGGGAACGCTATTAAGGAACAGGACAAATTAAGGAAATCTAATTTCAGAGCTGCCTTCTGATAGTATGCAGCAGATTATCAGCTTCAAAAATATGTGGTAATCTTGACACCTGTAAAATGCCATTGACCAAAACAGCTGAAAATAAGTCTACATCAGGTTATTAAAATAATAATACACAGTGTTTCTTCTAAAAAGAATATTTTCAATTAACTATAATTTCTCCAGATAGTAACTTCAAAAAATTCAGTCCTGATGTTACACATTCCCTTGTATTATCTCCCAGAGCGACTGAAACTGGCTTAGTAATAGGGGTTTTTACAGTGTTTAGCAAATAACTCCTGTTCTCCTTAAGAAGGTTAATTAAGTTACTGTCTGTGGTAATACAGGGACATTTGCCTTTCAAAACATTACAGGTGCCAGAGCTCACCTTTCTACAGACACACTCCATCTAAACTACCATTCTGAAGTTTACTAGTTACCACTTCAATAACTTCAACAGCTCTTTGCTGTTTACTAAGCCTCATTAGGTGAAAAGAAATCCCCCAACATGAGTCAGGGGCCAGGGGTGAACGTACACAGAAATGCAGAAATTATCTTCTGAACTTTACTGGCCTCATACAACAGTTGTTTCTAAAAAGTATGACCAATAAACTGATCCAATACATGTATCAGAGATATTCTAAGCCAGACCTAAAGGACAGCATCTCACTGCGAATTTGATTAGCATCTTCCTAATTAAGGACATGATCTTCAAGCAGCGAACATGTACTCTCCTGCCTGAATTAAGATAAATTCTTATACTAGTAAATAAAGCTCACTTTTCTGCAAAGTACACTAAAATTATTTGCTAAAATCGTTAGCAAAACTTTAGTGCTATGAAATTATGAACTTCCAAAAGGAACAAAACTGTTTGAGTTAAGAATATAAAATATTCAGAGACTTAACTTAGAATGCCGTTTGTCTTTAATGTTTCTATTACTACTTCTGCTTACTCAAGGCATACAGAAAGGTGTTTTTCTTAATTGCTATCTCCTGACACTCCACACCATTATGATAAGAGAATATCAAGCAGAACAAAAGAGAGAAAACTGGCTTAAAAGGAGCTCATTTTCTCTTGCACTTGGCATTAAAAAAAAAGGTAAAAAAAAAGAAAAAGTATTAAATGCAAAACTTCTTCAACTTGGATTTGCCTTCCTGAACAAGTATATCTGTGACCTAAGTGGGGAAATGTGACAAGGAGAATTTTAAGTGAACTATGTGCCTTTCAAAATTTATTATAGATGGATCCAGGATCCTGGGTAAGTCCCCAGTTAAGACATTAAAGGTACTTCAAGACATTATAAAAATATTAAAGACAATACAAAGCACATCAGTTCCAGGTAAGTCTTCCTTCTCTTATTAACAGAGGAAATTCTTTTGTTATGGTATGTACTTTAAAGTTATGTAACAACCTCATCCTAAATTCTGGAAAAGCCAGCTGGTGGCTAAGGTGCCAGATGAGACACATCACCCCGGCAGTATCTCAGGCCACTACAGGCTGCCAAAACAACTGCCAGCTGTCTTTGTAACTCAACAAAAAAATTAGGTTCATTAATATGCAAAAAAATAGTTAATTTTCTTCATGTACAGGGATACAATTATTATTTCAAGTAATTTCATTAAACTATGGGTAAACTTCAGTTCAGTGCTTCAGAAGCATAATGGCATGGATGAAAAAACCTTTTAGGAATATTTTAGAAGGTGATGAGGCATGTCTACATGTTTAGGTGCTAATGGCTTTAAGCAAAGAACTGTGACATGAACTTGTTATAGCCCTTCTTCTTCCTATTTTTGAATTCAAGCAGAAGAATTACAGGATAAGGATATACACATAAGGATGTGCAGTGATTTCACCAATCTTTTCCCTCATACAGAATTCCTATCATAAGATTCTAGCTTATCACTTCACTTTCTCTCTACAATACTAAACACTATTCTTCGTGTGCATATGTTTTACATGGCTCACATGTACTCCCACTGCTTTTCTTCACCTTTTTTCTACTCCCAGGATAAACAATAAAATCATGCCTCTAATCAAAACTCTTTAAGGAGAAAAAAACCACAGAAAACAATTTATATGGCTACTACTAATGTAGTAAAAAGAAGCGAGCAAGCATCAGATCGTTAACTACCAGCAGAATTTCCAGAAGATTGTGCTCACGAGCTCCTGAGTGCGGACAAACCAAACCCCACGGCACTAATCGGGGTGCCTGGAAAACGCACGCCCGGGAGCCCCGTTCCGGCGGCAGCTCGATCTTCGCTTCCCAACGGGAGCCGGGACTTGCCAGTCATTTCGAGGGCTGGAAGGAGGGGCTGGCGGCAACAAATCACTTTCTGCTTCCACCAGCACGGGCACTTTCTATACCGCGAGAGCGGCCGCGGCCCGGGGGAAGGAGGGAGGAGGGTTCGCCGCAGGGCGGGCAGCGGCTCGGCGGCCCCAGGGAAGCCCCGCGGTACCCGGCAGCCCGGAGCCCCCCGGCTCCGCTCGGATAGGGTGTGTGGGAGTGTGTGTACGTTTGATAGCGGGGGGGGGGATCCCGGGGACCGCCGGCCCGGATCAGCCTCAAGGATGCCCGAGCCCTGCGCGCCCGGGCGGGCAGCGGCCCCGCTGCCACGCGGGGGAGGCGCATCCCTCCCCCGCGTTCCTCCGTCCCACGACCCCCGCGCCAGCGGCAAGCCCGGTTGGCCGGCGGCGATCCCGGTTCCCCGCGGCCGGAGCGCCACCAGGGCGGGAAGGCGCACGCGGGACTCCCGGGGACACGCGCCCGCCGCCGCTTCCCTTCCCCCCCTCCCCCCGCGCGGCCCTCCCGAATCCACGGGCGGATCCAGCGCCCCAGGCCCCGCCGGGCCGCCTCGCCGCGGGGCCGGTGGCGCCTACAGCAACCCCTCTTCCCCGGAACGGCCGCCGTCCCCCATCCTTCTCCCCATACCCCCCTCCTCCTCCTCCTCCCTCGCCACTTCCATCCGGGCCGCTTCTCGTCGTCCCCGTCCCGTGTGTGCGCGTCCCCCCTCCCCAATCCCCTCATCCGCGCTTCTCCGTCCACCTCCCTTCTCCTCCTCCCCAAAGCTCCAGGGCGCGGAGCCTCCCCCCCTTCAGCCGGTCCTTACTCGGGCGGTCGCTGCTCAGGCTCGGCCGCGGCGGCCATTTTGAACTTCCGAACTCCTTCGCTGCCGCCGCCGCTGGTTGGGGGCGGGGGGAGACGCGGGGCCGGAAGTGAACCCCGCGCGCGGGGCCGGGAGCGCGGCGGAGGCTCCGCCTCCCTCGCCTCTGTGGGCGGCCGGGGGGAGGCGGCGGCGGCGGTGGCGGGAGTGGATCTGGCCAGAAGGGATCTGGCCGGGAGTCAGCGGGGTTGGATGAGGTATTGCGAGCGAGCTCTTCGCCGTGAGGGCCCTGAGACACCGGAATGCGTTTCCCAGGGAAGCTGTGGATGCCCCAGCCTTGGGAGCGTTCAAGTCTGGTTTGGTCGCAGCTCTGAGCAGCCTGGTCCAGTGGAAGGGTATCCCTGCGCGTGGCAGGGGGTTGGAACTGGGTGATTTTTAAGGTGCCTTCCGACCCAAGCCGTTCTGTAATTCCATGATCCTGTTGAAAGGCGCTTAATTTGCCTTTCCAGGCTCGGCCTGGCTGTGCCGGGCTGCAGGGAAAGGATCGGTGCGGTTCGGGGCCGGGGCTGTGTCCGGGTGCGCTGCGGTGGCTCTTGGGCTGGAGGGTGCAGGTTTCTCGCCAGCGTTTCGCCTTTTAAAATGAGTATTAGATTTAAGATCATTGCTGCATGTCTGCTAACAGGGGCTGTTGTAAACTTAGCAGAGAAATGCCCTAACGTTGCTAAGCTGCATTTCATTTTTAATTTAAACAGGTGGTTTGAGCAGTCATTTATGGCATAATTTTTCTCATGCAGGACCCTCACTTCTTGCAGATGGTCGTAAAATCTGCAGACATCCCTAGGGCTGGAATCTGAATCTGAATGTCATTGCTCCCCAGACTTTGGCTAAGACACTCGAAATCATGAAGTGGATTTTAACTCTTGGTTTTTTGTCTTTTCACAGATTCACAGACTGTTGGACTAAGTTGGAAGGGATCCACAAGGATCCTCGAGTAAAACACATTTACTCTTAAGTAAATGTCCCGTAGAGGGATAGCACCCACCACCTTAGTGTTACTAGCACCATGTTCTAACCAACCGCAACTACAGAAAAGTAACAAATTTAACTACTAATACTGATGTGTTCTGTCAATGAATCCACACATCACCGTGAGGATGTCACAGAATCCCAGCTGTATGCTGCTCTGCTTCAGGATTTTGAAGCCCAAATTGCCTGGTCTGGTGGAAATACTTCTGATGGAGATATGTTAGTGCAAGCTCTGCCATTTCACAAGCAGGATCAAAAGTACGATCAGGATGCATCTGGTTCAAATGCGTGAAACTGATACGGTGTGTGGAATTTCAGGCTGCCCTGAAATGGACCAAGGTAAAAATGAATTATGTAGCATTGGAGATGAAAAGAATGAAAACAAAGAAAACCTTGCAAAAAGTTACTGTCTTTACCTTAAAATAAGAGTCCTTGCTGTTGTGACATGAGCTCAAGCATAATCCTCGTGCATCTCACTCCTGCGAAAGGAACACCTTGTTTGGAGAAGTAGCAGATTACTTTCAATTTGAGGAACCCTGCAGTGCTGACTTCCATATTCCAAGAGAAAGGACAGGTAAGCCCAGTCTGTGCTTCTTAGCATGTGTCATGTCTTCACTGTTAGAACCCAGACATTTGCTGGGGAAATTAAAAGCCCCTAAAGCTCAGTCAAGGTGTAAATATCATAGGAAAATCAGTTGAAAGCTGGATCTAAAGGCTCTGTTCGCCCTGTGGAAGATGCTTGTGCCTTAAAGCTGGGTTCTGAGAGAAAGCAGCATTTCTGAATGTGTGGGATGTAGCATTAGAGCTGAATGATGCTGAGAAAATCCATTTAAAGGATCGTGACATGGATCATGACTTTAAATGTGTTTGTTGTCACATGACAGAGTAGATCTTAATGGAAAATCACTGAAAATCACACATGTGGATAAAAGAAACCTACCAGTGCTTCATCTGTGAAAGTGCTTTTATATCACTTTGTAAAGTGCCTGGAAAGTGCAGAGAAACAGCCATCAGAGAAAACCTCATCTCAGTGCACATCATCTGAAACTGAGCAGATAAGCAATCTTCATGTAGCTTGCTTGGCAGTACCAGGATACAGTTCTGTGCCCACACAGTGATTTTACCAGTAAGTCAGGTTTTATTTTTCACTCTCATCCAGTTGCCTCCTCAGGTTAAACTTATCACTGCAAATAACTTTCTTTGGTCAATGCAAAATTTGCCAGAGCCTTTCAGTATGAGCTGTAAATACTATCATCAGAAGCTACTGTAAAACATCTTCATGCTGTTTTGAGCAAAGAAAACGTAAGAATGGTAAAAATTCTAAAAATATGTTATAAATGTTCACCTGTTGATGATGTTCCTTCTTCAAAATCCTGTCTCATTTCATATTTTGGATTCTGAATATTTTTATGAGTAGTTAACAGTCATATTGCAACCATTTCAATATTGGTATCTTTTTAATGACTCTTAACATTACTCAAAAGGTACTTCTATCAAGGTGAATGTCTTTTATCTCTACATTTCATGATATTTCTAGTACTTAAATAGTATCTCCATTTATAAAATGAAAGACCTTGACTAGTGTAATCTGTCTCCTAAATCACAAAAGGACACTGTTCCAGTATTCTATTTCCGTTCCCCTTTGCATTAACTATAAATGACACTTTTGTACCGATTATACATTTTTCCTCATTGCTTAAATGATGCCTCTGTTTGTAGGTTCAAGTGCTATGCCATCCATAAAATGGATCCATCTGCATCCAAATGCATCCATAAATGCATTTAGTGCTCACCTTCATGTCTGTAGGTAAAAATCTTGAATGATTGTGTACAAAGGTAGTCTGGGAATTTTTCTGTTTAACCATTCAGTATTGCAGGTGGTTGCAGTGATTAATTGACTTTAGCAAGGTTTCCCTGGCTGCTGCTGGGAAATAAACCGAATTCTTGCTTCGTGGGTTGAACTACTGATTTGGTTCTGATTTCTCAGTATGGCTGAGTAAAAGAACAGGTCACGGTGAAATAAGGTGATGGCTCACGGTTGTGCTCTGGAGTTTGTGGCAGTGGTCAGGTAAGGAAAGAGACAAGGAATGTGAAGGAATGTGGAATGACAGGGCACCCTGTGGTTTCAGCCAGGCATCTGTGTCATTATGTAATTAGATTATGAAGGGTTTTGATTGAAAGGTTTAGATTGGATTACATGTTATGCTGTCTAGTTTTGATGCCTTTGTTGTCTTTGTGATACGCGGGCTTGTTCTGAGGTTTTTGCTGCTTGACAGGGCAGGAGATAGAATTTTTTAAAAGGTTATAGCAGAATTTCTGGAGGAAAAGTAATTGAGAAAATGGTAATTTTTAGAACTGAAAGAAAAACAGATTTTTTATTTGCTTCACAGTAACTTACAGTGTCCCCTTAGTTGTGACTGTAAGCCAAGAACAAGGCTGCAGTCTAATACAACATTCCTCTAAGGGGGTAGGAAGCAAAGCACATGGAAAGACAACTGAAATTCACAGTATTTTGAAATAGAGATGACTACAGCAGTGAAAAAATTTATGAGTGCTTATACAGACTATTGGTTTTTTAAGTGAAAGGAGAACTGCTTTTTATCAACAAATTATAAATTGTCTCTTGAATGAGTAATCTCATTCCTTTTGGGTGGGAGGCGTGGGAATGAAAAATCCATCTTCCTTACAACTGTAGTGAGAAAACCTGGGACTGGGTTTTCTGAGATGCTCTTTTGACAATTTCCATTATGTCTGGGGGCGATGAATTTTGAAGATTATAACTTACTATTCATTGTTATGTTAGTATGCAGAAAGTTTACTTAATTTTAGCTTCCTAGTGAAAAATCTGATAGGTTAAATACTTAATTTTTTAAGCTCTTGGAAATATTGTGGAATTTTAAATATTTTATATTTTTTGGGAACATTGCTTACATTTTTTGTGATAAATATGAGCAAAGGAAACCTTTCTAAATATTTGTTTAACACCATGGTAATTTCTATACATTTTTAAGGTGCAGAAGAAACAATAAAGAAACTAAGAAATCTTCAACTTGCTAATGTTTTTCAGATGTTTTAATCCATTATAGGAAGCTTTACTGTAAAATTATAAGGAACTGTTGTCTGCTGATTTATTGTGCTTGTGGAGCTGATACAATGAGAGCCTTTCTGCTGGCTATGGTGATGGTTTTTGAAATAGTTTTAAACACAGCTTCTTAGCACTAAGCTTGTGTTTAACTTAGTGTTGAGTTCTCACTGGAATCGCTAACATTATTTGGTACAATATGCTTGTTGTAGCTTTTAACCTACTTGAAAGCCTAACAGGTTAGTGGAAAGCAGCATACAAAGCGAATCTTAAATCTTAGAAAAAGAGTTCAGAAGTCGCTGGGAAGCTGAGTGATTTTATATTAAAAGCTTTACAAGAGAGGGTTAGTGGTCTTGACTGCATTTCCCTTTAAACAGGAATCCTCTGTGCAACCTCTTACCACTACTTTCTCCAGACCAAATTTAGACTGTCAGCAGATGTGCTTAGAATAAAATGGACACGTAAAGTGTATTGTATCTGTCACTAAAAATACTCCTTTGAAGCTTGGGTGTTCTAATGTATCTGTTCCTTCAATATTTTTCATATGCTTCATAATTCACAACAAAATAACTTCACTGAAAGTGCATATTTTGCTAACTCATTTTTAATTGTGGTTTGAAATCTTTGAGAGCTGCTTGTATCATGTTTTGGTTCGTTTTGGTTTTTGTTCTGGTTTGACACTGTGAATGCACTAAGCATTCTTAGAGCTGAGCTAACCTTGGATTTGCTCATGGAGTCCCCATGGTCAAATTATGTCTTCATAATCAATAATTGCTCTTTGTTCTTAAATGCTGTGCATCTCAGCCAGATTTGGTCTCATATTGCTTAAATAACCACAAAATACTTAAAAACTACATAGGAGTTAAGTTTGAGTATTTATATTAATAATCTTAATGTGGATAAATTTTTTCTATTTTAAATTAATGTATTTGCTCTTGTTTTAAGCTGTTGTAACAAACCATGGCTTTTAATACAACAAAGGAATGGCTCAAACTCTGCAAGCATCTGTGCAAGAACAGGTGCTGTTTCTAACTGTACTGAATGCAAGATGCAAGATTTTTTTGCAGTTATTTTTCTTTTTTTCTCTTTCAGTGCTAACTATTCACTTAATATAAGTGTACGTACGAGTAAATTTATTTTAATTGACAGAAGAAGGTGTTAAGACTCATCAAGATAGATTAGAATGGTGGTTTGAAGGGCAGGGAGGAAGGGTTAGGGACTTCCTAGAGTTTGCTTGAAGGCACTAAACAAGGATCCCCATCTTTCCAAGGCAGTAGGTGGGCTGGGATGTGGCAGCTGCATTGAGCTTGCAGCTCAGCAACTCTTATGTAGGTAAAGAAGCCAGCATTCAGTGCAGGAAATCTGGATGGCAGGACATGATGAGATGCTTGGGTTTTGAATACATACTAAGTTGTTTTCAGTTTCTGATGAGCTCATTTTGGCAATTGGTAATTGCTTGGTTGGATAACTAGCTGTTAGTTCAAAAGGAAATTCTGCCTTGTTAAGTTAGTAGCAGCAAGTCTATCTTCTTTTGTCAAGTGTTGCTTCATCTCAGTGAAGCTTAATTTCCATCTGCAAGAGGTAGAGATCCTTGCTTCATACAAGGAAGGCTATTAATTTTGTTGTTTGTTGTGTTACTAAACTGGGGTGGGCATACTATACTGTGGAAAATATCAAGGATGCTTCATGTCTGAAGCTTTTCTGGCTTGAACTTTATACCGATGTGATTGGAAGAACATGAAAATTGTAATACTCTTCATGATGACCATCCAGCTTCAATATTCAATTTAGATCTATTTTAACCCAAGGGTTTAGTCTCTTTCTGATTTCTTTTTGGACATTTAATTATGTCAGACATGCAAATCAACCAAAATGATTCAGCCAAGTTTCTAGAATGCATATGGGGAAAACTTTCTGTTCATAATGTTTTCAAGTGGAGCCTGCAAGACTGTGTATACCTTTTATTTAAGAAGTCCTAATAGTACATGCCTTGCAGGAAATATATAAGCATTTTTCAGGTGGTGTCGTCTATTAGAACAGCTGAAAGGCCACACTCCTGATGGAAAATCAGTTGAGATTTGGCCTTTTTAGTGCTTCTGAAAAATGCAATGAACAATGACAATACCTTACTGCAGGAAGCTAATTGTGACACACTTTTTCAGGGAGGCAGGGACAGGAGCTAGGAGAACTTGCCAGTTTCCTTTGGCACCTGGCTTGCAAAGGTTTTTGATTCTTTTGTAGACAGCATGTAAAATGTGGTGGATACTGAACACCAGTGAAGCAGGGAAACCTGTGAGCTGTTGCCAGAGGTAAAGATGAGATTAGGAGATGAATTTAAGCAGGATTTGTCATATTAGGAAAAGTGATAATGAGTCATGGTAAAGTGGGAAAATAGTAAAATAATGGGGAGTCTCAGAAAATGAGAATAACCTGTGCCACAGTTTGGTTTGAAGTGAACAGAAGGATTTAGTCTCAGACATGTGAACCAGCATTAAAATAAGAAGGGTACACAATCCCTTCTATTTACTTTTGCTGCCATTACTCAAATGACAATTAGTTCAAGCATCCAGAGAGTTTTGGTGTGTGTATGTGTCTATATATATAATTCCCCATTATGAAACCTGGCATTGATGTTTTAGCATGTTAGGTATTTTGATTCCAAAAATGAAACCTAAAACTTGTTGGATGTTGAAAAGAGAGGAAAACAACAAAAACAACAACAAAATTTTAAGAGAACTCTCAATACAGGTCAAAAAGCCAAGCACTCATCTGTGTGGGTGGGTACACTTGCAAAATCTTGCTTTATTTGCCTGTATACAAATTTCTTCTCCCAGTAATCCTTCTGAAATTCAGTGTGTGGAATGGGTAGTGCTTCATTAGACTCACTTTATTCTTTAAAGAGCAGAGTAAATAACACAAAAAGCAATGAGATTAAGGTTACAAAGGCAGCTTTGATTTTGGCAATTCAACTTTCATTTTGGCAATACCTAATTTTTATTTCTTGTCTTAGCAAACTTAATGAGTTGAGACTTTGTTTGAGTTTTTTAATACAGCTTTTATTTTGTGTTGTGGGAAATATGTTGGGAATTTACCTTAATATAGTACAATAAATGACCAGAATGCTATCTTCTTTAGCAGTATGAGTTACTGAGTTACTAAGTTCTACATTGCTATACACTATGTATATGCCATACAGTACATGGCTATATAAAAGTTCACATATTTCTTCCTTAGATCCTGTGACATACAGACCCTTTAGAGTTATGGGCTTCAGCTCCATCACAACATCCATACATGTGTTGGTGGTGTCTTGACTGAACCACGCTGGTGTACACTGAATTGGAGAGTCAGGTAGGTGTTTATTTATGCTTGAATACAGCAAATGAAAAAAGCAGTAAGATTCTTAGATATTTTTAAATCTGTATGTGGTCACAAAACTGGAAATTTATCCTCCCTTTTCTCTTAGTCACTAGAGACTCCAGAATCCAGCAGTATTTGTAATCTGATGCCTGCTGTATCATCACATTAAAAGCAATGGGCAATTTAGTAAATAAGGCTCAGTGACACTGGGTGAGGAAAAAAATCTTTGATTTTTTCTTTCTGTAAACAGCAGTCTGTTAAAATGTCTCACATTATCAAGTTCTGCTTTTTACAAATTATCTGCAGAGTTGTTACAGCTGTTTTGAGATTGATCTATAACAACATCAGCTTTTATATCTTGTTTGTAAGCTTTTGGGAGGGTGGTGAAAGGTATTTTGGTAGTTTGTTGCTAGTATAAAAGCATTAATAGACATACTATGTCAGGACCAAACATTTGAGTCAAATTTAGTTATTCTGTACCAAATGATACTTGCATGGTTGAAAATATTTAATTTACTCTGAAACAAGCACTGGATATCTTCTCAATCATGTAATGGGCTTTTTCCTTTCCTAGTTTTACAAAGTATGATATATATTTAAATGTTATCCTGGGGTGACTTTATGATACTGGTATCCCCAATCGTCTGGTTTATGTTATATATTAAGTTCTGCACCTTTAAGTCTGGCTTTGAGAGCAAGAGAGGGGGAAGAAGAAGTGCGCAGTTTGTGTTAAAGAAAAACATCACTCCCACACATCCCGCTCCTGGACTGTAGTGTCTGCAGCACAGACAGACAGCGGGACAGAGCTTCTCTCTGGCTTTTAGTTAGTTTTAGCTAGCTGAGACAGAGGAGTTCCCTGGACCTTTGTTTTTTTCTTTTTTTTCTTGGATCTGTGCAAGCCTGCTCTGGACTGAACACCCAGCCAAACCCCGAGAGCTCACGCCTGTGGCCCACCGGGGCCTGGGCCTCGGCACTTTCCAGCGCCGAAAGGACTGATAAGGGACTGAGTGAGCCGAGCTACACCACATGAAAAGGACTTTTCTTCCTAGATTTGCCATCCCATTGAACAGCAAGAGGTTTTATTATTTAATATTATTCAATTTCTGTTAAATAAACAGCTTTTTCCACTTCTCTCCAAGGAATTTTTTTTTTCCTTTCCCAGACCAGTTGGTGGGGAGGGGGCATTTCCCTGGGGAAATCCCCATTTGGAATTTTCCTCCCTAATTTGCCCTAAACTAGGACAAAAGTGTATGCAGCACTGTATTTCTTAAGGTTTTATCTTGGTTTGACATTTCACTGATCTTTGCATTAGTCTTAACAACATAATTAGCATTTTATGTTATTTTAGCAATTTTTGGATATTCATAACATAACAAAAGTCAATTCCTTGCAGCATAGTAGCTGTATTACGTAAAAAGGTTGGTTGTTCTTTATCTACGTGTATTAGGATCACTGGAAGTCTGCCTGAGGAAACTTAGAAAAGACAGGAATGTTAGAAATGTGCATTGTATGATAAAGCTTTTATATGAAAAATACATTGTAATCTGGTAAAATAAAGGGATTCAGATCAAATGAGAAACCTGAAAATCGTGTTTCTCCTTAATGCATTGTCATTTTTAAAAAGAAAGGGATATTTATTGTCATGCAGGTATGTCAAACACTGTAGTAACTTTTCAAATGCTGTCATTTGTATGATTGTAATTTGTGCTTACCTAATTACCTAATTTTGTTTTTATCTTTCATTGTGTTGAGCAGCACTTCAGCAATTTTATAATTCAGGTGTGCGTCCAATAATGATAATCTGTACTTCCAAGATGTGTGTGAATGGTAGTTGATCATTTCTATAAATCACTTGCCTATTCATTGTATTTGCAGTGTACACAAGAATAAAGAAGAGCAGCTCTTTCTTCAAAATTACTTATCTTTAACTTGCTTCTCATTTTGTCCTACAGGTTAAAAAAACCCCAAACAATACAACAAATGAACAAACAAAAACCAACTCAAACAAACAACTTTTCATGGGAAGCTCTATTTTATGTGTGTTTCACAAACAACACAGAATGAGGAGCAAGATTTATTTTCTCAACAGCTTTTTCTTTCTTCACCTGGAAGCTTCGTATCTGACTTTTAAGTCTTTCCATAACTGATGGTATTATAAAATACTGGTATAGTGTATTTTGGGTTTCTTTTTTAATTAGTTTGCTTAGTTTATGTCTTAAATGGCAATCCAGAGAAGAGTTGAAGGAGCATATGGAAAATTACAGAATTGCTAGTGCCCCTTTTTTCTTCATTTCAGGATCAAGTATTCAAAACCAGACATCAGTTGAGTGAACATCACAAGCAAATCCATCATGAAGAAGCACCAAACCCACAAATGAAAGAGAGGAAGAGAAGAATGAAGTCTGAAGATAATCCTGTGTGTTTCAACGCAAAAGCAACTTGAAAGTAGAATTCAAGCTAATTTAAATGCAGTATCTACATACCTACAGTAGGTATGATCTGTATTATAGCAAAACTTTCTGTTTTGTTTCTTAACTGCAGAATATTTTGTTATCTGGCATGTTTATTTGTTTGCTGATTTACTTACATATTTTTGTAAGAAAGTTGCTCTTAGATAGCCTGAACAAAAATAAAAATAGCTACCTCCTACTTGGTTTGTGATAGTACCAGTCTTTGGAATAAATTAAGTATGTGCTGGTCAAAAGGTGCAGCTAAGATTTTCTGCTATAGTTTGTTCCACACAATAACAAAGCACAGCCACTGAAATAGGCTCTTTCAGGAGCCAAAAGAAGTGCTGTGGGACTTCTTGGAATGGTGCAAGTTAACTAGGTGAAAAAACAGCTTCCTTTGAGTCATGGCTGCATTTTTAAGAGGAGTATTAACTGAACCATCAATTTTATCAGTTAGTATAAAATTGTACTTATCTGGACTTGTAAGAGTTAACACCAAGACTTTGCCTGGCCTCAAGTGCATCCTTTCTTCCAAAGAGATTTTGAGAAGGCATTTGATGCAGCTGCCTGTCCATGAGTTGACATTACAAAATATTCTGATAGCTTTTTTAATACTTAAGTAGAGAAGCTTGAGTACATCTCTTTCTCTAGGTTTCTTCTAAGTATGTGCATTTGGCTTAGGGTGTTTTCTCTTTTTTGTTGTTGTTTATGGCTATACATGTCTCTTACGTTATCTGAAAACATTTTTGCAATAGTTTAACTAAAGAAATCACTTTCTTAATTTCACAGTTGTGTATCATAAATTAATTCAAATCGTCAAAGATTTTTTCCCCAAAGACTTCTTTATCTCACTGTTTTCTAGGACTTAAATAATTGTCTATACTGAATCTGGCTTTCCTCATTTGAAGTTGTTACTGCTCATGTGGAAAGAAATAAATACATGTTTTAGTCACTCTCTGATATTAGAATAATAAAAAGAATCCAAAAATGGAATTTGGGTTCGGTTAGTCAAAGGCCTAATTGCTTGAAGTGAGCTAGAGCATTTTTGTTAGTAAGTTGGGAGCAGATCAATGTGCTGATGATGTACCTTGCACATAGGCATCTGTCTTCTGGCCTTTTTTAAATCAAGTGGTCAGTTAACAAAGCTCATCAGTGGCAGAAGTAAAAGGTTAAGCACTTTACATTGTTACATCATTACAACTATGACTTGTGAAACAGTAGAGTAGGGAAATACAAATTTTGTCTGAGGTTACATTTGAAATGTGACATATGATGTAGGCACTACAGCTCTCTTTTAAAAGAAGAAGGAACTTTTATGGACTGGGTCTCTGGAGCTCTCCCTGGAACCGTGGCCATTAAGAATTTATTTGAACTTTTCATACCTACCGCTGACACGAGCTTTGCTTGATTTTTGTACAGCAAAACAAACTTCAACACTGTTCCTTTCCTACAGCCCCCCTGAGGTGCAAACTCATAAAACTGGCAGGAGCTGTATTCGCTGCCTGCAGCTGTCTTGTAGTTATTTCCACTAAAGGCCCTGTCCCCACAGTAGAACAGGATCTGTTGGGAATCACAGCCAGCTCAGTGGTGTGTCCAGCGGCACAGATGGAATAGCTGATGGCAGAAGGCGTAAGGATAACCCTGCTGTGTTGACTGTGACTCTGAGAGCACGGGCTGTGCCCTGCACAGAGCTCCAGAGTGCCAGAGCAAGCTGACTCATTTCCTTTCATCGCACAGTTGTCTCTCGTTATGCCCAGATTAACAGATGCACATGGGAAGTGTGTTTTAGAGTCTATTCATACTGTAAAACTTAAAGGAATTCCTTTAAACGGAGAAAGATCTGCTGTCAGGAGGTTACCAGCAAAGTGTTGGAAGCAGGACTTGGAAATCCAGCTGTTTTCCTGGCTGTCCTGTGGCGCTTTGTTTGCTTTCCACCAGGAGGGGGCAGCAGATGAACAACATCACACGGGCTGTTTTCTGCTTTTCAAACGCTTCCAGTGTCCCTCTCTGCCTGTGAGTCCTTGCAGGGACTCCTTACCGATGTGAGAGTTTAAAATTATGGTTCCTACCTGTTTGCTGCAAGGATAGCTGGAATGTATGAATCAGAAGTCTTCATTCTGTTCAGTATTAAGGAATAGAATTTATTTATTAAAATCTACCTCAAGTTTATAAAGAGGGCAGTTCTTTATTGAGACTTAAGATTTTTATGACTATGGCATTAGGTGTATATGTATTTTAAAGGATAAAATAACCAAGCAACGCTAGCCCATCAGCTCATTAATGTTACCTAAGTCTTGCTGAACATCTTTCAAATACTTATTTTTGTATTTCAACTTGCATATTACAATTCAAAATAATGTTCTCACAGCCATTTTTCTCCCATCAGAAAATAAAACTGAGAATGCACTAAATCTAGTGATGCTTTTCATTCACGTGTAATAAATGTGTTCACGTACAAGGATGGCTTATGCGTTCTGCTGGCAGAGCATGGGAGTTAAAGGCCTCAATTCACATGTAGTGCTAGTGGTGCTAAACAATATGACCAAATTTTATTGCCTTATTTCAGCCGCAAAGTGCAGTCTTATCATCTAAAAGTTTATGGACATGTACCATATTACTGATTGGGAGTATAGTGGGGTCTTTTTTAAAACTGTTGGACAAGTAGTGATTATAACCTACTATTGTGAACTTCTTGAAAGTGCATGGCTATAGTTCTGTTTAAGATGTAGATTAAGTAGTTAACAAAGCCACAGAGAGAGGGCAGTCCAGTCCTTTTAGCTGCTGAGTTTTATCCAGTAGTTCATATAAAGAAAGGAAAACCATGGTGGCTTCTGTATCAGCTGCCAGTGTTCAGAAGCTAACTGGAAAGAATGAAACTAATTCCTAACAGGACTGATTAACTGATATACTTGTCTTGATGATTTTCATTAAAATTGTGTAGTAATGTGTGTGGGATCTTTATGGAGCCTAAAACTTTATCAAGTGACATGATTTTTTTTTTCTTTCGTGGTGATTTTCCTCTTTAAAGATAACAAATGTTTAAGAGAAGAGGAAATAATTTCAAAGATTTATTCAGAATGGCACAACTTGCCTTTCAGAGCTGGCTTTCATCTTGAATCCCACTGTTTAAATCACAGATTTTTCCATATAGACCCCATGGTTCTACTGAGGTCACTGATTTAGCACCTTCTATGCATCAAACACTTAAACAACTCCCCTGAGTATTTAAGTTCCCTCATGCAAGTTCAGGGCTTTTATTCTTTGAGCAATCTATGCTTTAATTTTCTAGTGCAGGAAATCCACACAAATAACTGAGGATTAAATTCCCCTTTTCCTCTTTCTTGTTTTGAATACTATTGCATAAAATAGCAACTGTATGATTCACTCTTGCTTTGTGTAGTAATTAGCAGGAAGATTTTAAAAGTAGAAGTCTTGAGTAAATATAGTATAAACTAATACCATAATATTCTAAAATACCTTGTTTTCAGAATAGCTGGACTTGAACTGCCTTCACAAATATGTCATGAAAATAGCTCTGATTTCCTTATAGAGTGTTTAAAGAATGAGTAATCCTGTTTATTGCATCTAATACATGAGTACACTACATGTATTTGGGAATGAGTATTGACTCAGGTATTAATTACTTGCAGTGTTTTGAAAGGACATTGTTTCCTTTTGCTGAGTGCTGGTCAATAATCTAGATAGATGTGTAAGCACTTTTTAAACCTGTTATAGTTGGTTTTCACAGGACAAGGATTTTAAACTTCTATGCTTGTATTTCTCTCTTTGAAAAAGTGTGTTAAAGATGTGACTTAACAGCATTGTAGACTTGTGTTGAATTTTTGAACAGCCAATGCTTCCTCTGTTGTTCCTGAGGAACCCCTAAGCATGGTGAGAGGGATAATACAGAAAATTTAGGATAGCAGATCTGTAATCTGCATCAACCTTTTCAAATGTTTTACCATTTCCCTTCCCAGAATCTTCTCTTTGTATATTAGTACATTTGTAATTTTCATGTGGAGGTTTTTTTCCCTTTTTAAATAAATTTCACTTGCAGGCCTGAAAGAGTAACAGGTCATATAGCAGAGACAAAAAATTTCAAGAAAGCTTTGGTGGACCATTCAAACATCAGAACAGAACAGTCCAATATGATCATGTTGCATTGTGTAGAATTGGCTGCTAGGAAATTAATTCAACACAGCAGATGATGTCATTTTGGGAATGTAAATAAATAATTGAAAGATAGTAAACTAGAAACTGAAGTATTTCATTGTAAACAGGTGTGGTAGGAATCTTTGTCCTCTTATCTTTCCCATAGTGGTATTAGTCTTTCCTAACTAATACCTTTAATACTCATCATAAAAGACATAAAAAGCCTAAATTAACACTGTAACTGAGAAATGTAATCCCTTCAGACCACTTACACAGGAAGACTAGATGATGATTTTCCAGCTGTGACAAGGTTCATTTCCTTTCTGACAGGAAGTATTCTTAATAGTTAGCTCTGCAGAAATGCACAAGAATGCGTGCTGGCATCACAGCCCTTCATTGCCAGCACTGGGAGCAGGGAACAAGGTCTCTCTGACACAGCAGGTACAAACACATACAGGTGGATTGCATGGATGTCCTCTTTATGTTACCACTTCCGTAAATTGCTCAGGGAGGAAAAAAAAGTATTCTTCTGTTGAGTACTGAGTGCTGTGTAAGAGTGATTATTTTGTGACATGAAAAGGATTTCTAGAAAAAAGTGGTATTTTTTCCCTACTGGTAGGTTTCTCTCTTATGTTGAATATGCAAAAACCAAGCACTGTGATCCTGATTTAACAAAATAGGTTAATTTTAAACAATTTTTAACTGATGGGTTTTTTATGGCAATTAGGTATATTGATCTTTAAGGATTTGTTTGATCCTGGTTTGGAATTTGTATTCAGAAGACAGCTATTTAAAGATATAAATACTGCAAAGACAAGGACTGCTTATATTCCTGGCTTGTTAACTGAAAAGGGTGTCTTTACTAGTTCAGAGGGATGTGGACTTTAACCACACCTTTTTTTTTTTTCTCTTCTGATATTCTGCAGCCATTAATTAAAATATTAATTATAGGAATTATGAAAAATAGGAATGTCCTCTCAAAACTTTCTAAATCAACTTGCACATATAGGCATATTTCAAGATTTTCAATATCATAAAGTTTGGTTTCCACCTT